ATTTTTTAGTTCTCGGCAGACACAACATCTTTGTTGGTATGTGGTGCTGAGGATCGAACCCAGGCCGCACGCATGCCAGGCGAGCGCGCTACCGCTTGAACCACATCCCCAGCTCCATATTTTTTTTTTAATTTTGAGACAGGGTCTCTCTAAGTTGCTTGGGACCTTGCTAAATTGCTGAAACTAGCTTTGAACTTGACATCCTTCTGCCTCTACCTCCTGAGTTGCTGGGATTACAGGCATGTGCCACCATACCCAGATTCTTTTAGTTTACTCTTAATTGCAAAAGAATATTTTGTGTCTTAGAGAATAAATTGAGTTATAAAATTAACAACAAAAATTTAAACATAAAAGGTAACTAGGGGATTTAAAGGAGGGAAAAGATTAGCTATTACTGTCATGTATACACATATTTACATACTAGTGATGAGAACTTAGATTTCCTTGTGACTTCTCTTTTCTGAAACCCATTTCATATTACCTTTTTCCTCAGCCATATCTCAGTTGTAGTTTTTTTTTTTTTGTAATTGTATAGGGTGCTGTAAATCTTCATTCCTGACCGTACAAATCCTCAATAGTCCAATCTTTTACATAGTTTTCATTAACTTTTACTATTGGATGTGGAAGTCCTGGCCACAGCCCAGGGACTCCACTGAGTCTCAGATTCATCTCTCCCTGTCCCCGCTGTATAGTAATAATCTAATTTCCCTCCGTGATTGAGACCAGGACTCCAGCCAACCCAGTCTGTCTCTTCCCCTGTTAGCTCCCTGCTCAAGGAACTCAAAATGACCATGTAACATCTCAACTAATGTCTCTTTTCTATAAAGATAACTGTTTTATGTCCCCAAGTGGGAACTCTTCACTCTTGGTCCTAACACGTCTAAACCAGCCAACCCCCGAGGCTGGAAGATGGGAATCAAACACACTATGAGTGGTTTATTAGGCATAAAAGTGAAAGTAGCCAGTCCCACTCCCACCACTTGATTCTGACTGTCAGAGGAGCAATACCCTATCTTGGTTGGTGGTTCAGGCATGTGTCAGCATATGTCAGAGCCCGGCCTTTCTGAATGTCCTCACCGCTGGCACCACAGCTCAGGTTGTGCGAGGTCAGTCAGATTCCATCAGTAATGCTTTGGGGAGACTCACCAGTAAGACAAGTGTCATTGCACACACGCCTGTTGCCACGCTTCCTGTGCTGGGGATCCTTCCTTCCCTTACTCAGGGGCTCCTGACTCAGAAGCAATGTGATTGAGCTCCATATGTGCACAGGACATCCTATAAATCTGCAGGCCATGATGCTGTTAGCAGGATAGAGGACAGAAAAGCTTCGTGTGTATCCAGAGTGTGTTGCTTTGGCATTGAGGAGCATTTGCCCCCCCACCCCGCCGATTTTGTCAGCCCCCCATGATTGGCCTGCTGCTAAGGAAAGCCTACTCCATTATTCACAGCTTAGTGGGGAAGTGACTTGCTCTCTGTGCGGGCTTCTGTCTTCCACAGTGCTCACTGCATACATAAGCCCACTGAGCAAGTGTTAAGGAGGGGCTGCGGAAGGAGGCGCCCTGACGTCCACAGAGCAGGTGGTCTTGTTGGCCTGATGATTGCAAGTTCCCTTTGCAGGCAGCACCCCTTAGTGAGCATTTTATGGAGTGCAGATGCCTTTTGTTTTGTTTGTTTTGGTGGGGGGGTACCAGGGGTTGAACTCAGGGACACTTAACCACTGAGCCATATCCCCAGCCCTTTTTTGTGTTTAATTTAGAAACAGGGTCTCACTGAGTTGCTTAGAGTCTCACAAAGTTGCTGAGGCTGGCTTTGAACTTGTGATCCCCTGCCTCAGCCCCACAAGCTGCTGGGATTACATCAGTGTGCCACCGTGCCTGGCTGGGTATAGATACCTTTACACTCTGGACCCAGATTTGACAGTTCTATAGAATGCTTTGTTTCCAGCTTCCTAATCTCAGTCTTTCCAAGTCCTGACCATCCAGTCAAAGCACTAATGACTGCCAAAAAACCTTACAATACTTCTGACCACGTAAGTCTTGGCCAAGTAAGCAACCAAATGCTGCCTTAGTCCGTTTGTTAGCAGCTGTGTGTTGTACTGAATTATTTGTAGGCAAGGCCTGAGTGTTTTCTTCCTCTCATTTCGTCCTGAGTGTCTCTGGCATGTGTCACTGGTACCAACTGAGCAAGGGGGTGCTGCTTGATCCCGTCCAGTCTGTGCTGGGCAGCACAGGTGGTGCGGGCTCTTCATCTCCATAGAGTCAGGATTTTCTTCCTTGGCAAGGAAACTTTATTTCTCATGGCCACTTGGCAGATAATTGAAGCTATTGGGTCATCAGGCTCAAGTGGCACAGCAGCTTCCAGAAGCCCAGACTTGCTGCAGCCTTCTCCTGCTGGAGCTCTGATCAAGACTCATGACTCACTCTTCTTGATAACTAGGAGGAAGCAGTATGCACATAATAGATCCAAAGAGGCCACCAAGGATTATGCTTCTTTTGTAGTGCTCAGCATCACACGGCCCACAGCTCTGCTGATAACCTAGAAATGTCTGCCTGACATGCGCAGAACCATTGGACCCCCGCAGACTTCACAGAAATGCCGGCCACTAACTTCCATGAGCTTTATGTTCCAGCTTGCATTGTCTCTTAGAAAAACATCTAGGGTATTTGTCATTTCCCGCACATCTGGTCTTATCAGTAGACAATGTCAACATAGTCAGCTTGAGGTCAAGTTGATCAAGATTTATGCCAATATAATTATGCCAGAAAGCAGGAGACTCAAGAGTTGATACAGCCCCAGGAGAAGTAAAGGTGTAGTATAGACCCTACCAGGTAAAAGCAAATTCTTCTAATGGTCTTTGAAAATTGGTAAAAAATAATTTGATCAAAAGACTTAAACGAGGTGTCAGGGGCTATGTGTTTGCTCCAGTGAAGATTCCATGTTTGGACCAATGAATCACAACCTAAATACACTTGTGGTAATTTATAATAACTCTCCATGCCGTGGGTCAGCTAGTGAGGTGAGTATGAGGTAGGTAAATGAGCCGTGCTAGTTTCAGGTCTTTGACAGAGATGGTCATCTTTGCCATTCCCTGCATGGTGTCACTATTCCCTGGTAGGGAGGGGATATTTCAGGAGATGCTGCTTATCTCAAGTTTAATACCTCTTACACCCCAGGGCAGAGAGACATGTGGGCGTTAATTCTGCCGGTTGCTGCATATGTCTATTTCAGAACAGGAATAGGAACTGGAGAAACAGCCAAGCATGGGTGTTTGGGGCCCTCTGGAACCACTGTGAAGTAGTCTTGACTCATACACCTGTATCACCTTCCTACCAGGAGCCTCCACCTTAGTGGCCAAGATGCAGTTTGAATACCATGAACTTACTTCAGTGCAGAGCCAGCAGTCCCCAGCTCCTGGCCATTCTATCAGGTGGAACAGGACCTTTTGGGGAGGAATATCTACCATGACTCACGGGGAAGAAGTACCCATGAGGCCAGTGCCCTGCACGACCAAGTCCTTGTGATATTTACCTACCTGGTAGGAATGGCTGGGAGGCTTAGGAAAAGAAAATCACAGGCTCAGAAAATGCTCAAAAAACAGAAATGCTGTGTTGTAGGAAAAGATAATAATTATTATTATTTTAAATAATTATTTTTATTTTATTTTTATTTTTGGCACCAGGGATTGATCCCAGGGGCACTTAACCACTTAGCTATACCTAGTCCATTTTTATCTTTTATTTTGAGACACAGTCTCGGTGAGTTGCTCAGGGACTCACTAAGTTGCCGAGGCTGGCTTTGAACTCGTGATCCTCCCACCTCAGCCTCCCAAGCTGCTGGGGTTATAGGTGCATGCCACCATGCTAGGCAAAATAATTGTTTTTCAATAATTTTCTGCTTGTAGCTGTAGGACCGATTTGTGGAAATTCAGTTCCAGACGTTCTAAAGCACAGAAGGCTACAGAATTGCAACTAACTTCACAGACACTTCACGACTTTAATGTGAAAATTAGAGCATTGATTGGCCAGACACCGGACCCCAAGATGGAGGAATCATTGAGACAGGTTCAGACAAAGCTGATGTTCAGCTGTGAAATCTTTCATGTTTCTTTGTCTGGAAAAACAGCCTTTCTCCCTTCTTAGCCTTCTCGCTTGAAAACAGTTGCTACTGACTCCTTGGAAGGTCAAGGTCCAGTGGTCTGGGCGCCCCAAGAAGCCAGAGGGAGAAATGGCTGCCTCTGGACACAGTGTCTCTGGTGGGGCACTTTGGCTGTGGCATTGCTGACAGAAACGGCGAGTAGACAGGAAGGAGAAGCTTTCCATTTCTCTTCTGCATTCTGAGCTCCTGCCTCCTCCTGCCAGGAGTCCAAAACTCCAGCTGGCAGAGATCTGGGTGAAGTCATCTGCAGAGTTGCGTCCACAGGAGCAGAAGCAGAGCGTGGAGGGTGAATCTGGAGTTGAGAGAAACAACTGCCAACACCTGAGGGCCGTGCCCAACCTCCCGGGCCCCTCCCAGGTTGGCTGCTGACCCACAGGGCCTTCCTGGCCTTCCCAAGCCCAGACTGAAAACCCCTGAGTCTGTGCTTGTTGTAGGATCCCCGAGAACACCCTGCGGTGCTTGGGAGCCTCTGTCTGTGTTTTCTCCTAACCAGCAGTGTTTTCCACTTCCTCCTGGAGGCAGCAAGGGGAAGACACAAAGGGCTCTTTCCCTCTGATCCACCAGCACGCCCAGCAACCGCGCCCGCTCACCACCTTGATGTCTGTCTAATGAACCTGCTTCGCTTTCCTTTGGTTTTTCCATGACCAAACAGGTGCACGTCCTCTCAATCTCCCTCCCTCAAAGTGTTGCTCTTGGTCACAAATTCAGGGAAGGATCTGTGGGTGGAGCAAAACGGATGGTTAGAAAACAACCCTGGGTGTGCTCTAGAGAGCAGCCAGCAGGAAGAGCAGCGTCTTCTGTTCAAAGGGCGTGGGGAGAAGAGTGCAGCCCTGTGCAGCTACTGCAAGCCTTGGTTTCTGAAAGAGCTCGAATACACGAGGGAGCCTGACGTGCGTGCCTGTGTGTGGCAAGGTGGGAAGGGTGTTGTGCAACCTGGTGTTTACTTAGATGCTGGAATATCACTTATGGACACATCCATACAAAATAGTGAAAATCAGGGGAAACATTTAATATAGAAAAAAATGCAGTTCATTCTAATCTGATTTGTTTATTTACTTTTAGTGTGATCATATGGATTTTTATAATTCAAATCTTACATTAACATGTTTATTTCTAAATAATATTTGATTGTGATCATTTGATTCCCAAACTAAAAACATAGTGAACAAATTTCCTATAGCAAAGTAGAATGTAGGAGCCAGACATTGTGATGCATGCTTGTAGTCCCAGGGACTGGAGAGGCTGAGGCAGGAGGATCACAAATTCAAGGCCAGCCTCAGCAAATTAGCAAGTCTCTAAGCAAGACCCTATCCCAAATTAAAAAGTAAAAGAGGCTGGGGATATGGTTCAGTCATTAAGACCCCATGGGTTAATCCCCAGTACCAAAAAACAAAAAAAAATAGTAGAATGTTGTGTGAGTAACAATGCTTAGGGTTTATCCTCCACAAAGTGATTTCTCATTAGGTGGCACAGGAGTGAAATAGGTGTATTCACTCCCAGCAGAGGCCACAGAGAGGATTGGAGCCTGCACAGGATCTCATTCCTCAGCCCTCATTCATGCAGACTGACCTCAGTGTGAGTGGATCAAACTGCAGCAGAGAAAGAGAGAGAGAGAGATCAGAAGATTCTGGCAATTTTGAGAGCAGTCACAGGGACACAGCAGGAGGTAAGGGAATATTTTTAGGGACATAGTCTTTAGCTTCACCCCACTACCCCATCCATTGCGGGAGATGTGGCTGGGAAATGCAGTCTCATTCAGCTTTACTCCACTAATCCACCTGCTAGGCGCAGGGAGAGGGCTGCAGTGTGGGTGCCTGCAGTATCCGGCCCCAGGTGAGGGACTCAGCCTACTAAATGACAAACTTAAGAGTCAACCTGCATATGACTCTTCCTTGAAACCATATAACTTTCTCCAGAATTGCCTGATGCAAAAGTATTTATGTGCAAAACCATTACGTGTGGCACCGCTCGGCAGGAAGAGATTTAAAATCATTCTTCATTACATATTTTAAGCCCAACCTTCTCTCTCTTCCCACTTTAAGAAGTCTTTTCTTTGCTTGCATTGTATTTATGATTTAAAAGTAGTTTTATGTCACCAAGAATTATAGCCCCTTTCCCACAGTGATTTACATTTTTGTGTTACTCAGAGCCATCCTGGACAGTTTGATAAAACATACTCCATTGAGCTGAGACTCTGCCTTCTATCCTGTTATCATATGAACTTCAGAATGGATACTGTCACTCGGTCCCCCCAAATCCTTCAATGTCATCTCAATGCATGAAGAATAAATACTCACCCCTGGATTTGGTGGTCTTTGATCTTTGCAGTCTGATGTGTCTACTTTCCAACATTTTGTCCACATTTCAATGATATCACACTGCTCACGACTCCTGTCTGCTCCACCCCTGGAAATCCCTTGGTGCCTGTGCGTGTCTCTGCAATTGCACTTATTATACTAGAGTGCTGCTCTGTATTTCCTGATCTCTGCTGGCGATGCTGCAGGCAGCTTTTGTGGTCATATTTGTTTTATCTTTGAGCCTGTGTTGCTTGGCGAGCTGCAGGGCACACAGCACACGCTCAGTCTATGCGTAGAACCTCAATGTACACACAAACCAAGGAACACCCTGCACCCTCCTTCTGACACAGTGACCCTTGTTATCAGATTGGACCATACCAGGTGGGAGGAGATGACCAAAGACAGAGAGGCCAGGGCCCGAGCCATTTTCTCTTCCTTACATACATACCCACCAGTTCCCAGGGAGCTGCATCATCCCAGAATCATGATGCAGAACTTGATCAACAGTTGAAACCATATCTGACACCAAGCCACTGAGATTCTGGCATTCAAACCCATTGCTAATATGCTTTAATCAGTGGATTGCTCAGGAACTTTTCAATTAAATAAGTCACATACCACCAGATCCTCATTTGGCCTGGTATTTATTAATCAAATTATTCTCAGAATGGGTTTTAAAAGCCTATTAAATCAAGTAAATTAAAATGTTTGGATTATTTTCTCTGTGATTATGCGTCTGTACCTCTGCTCAAGGGTAACGTGTCAATCATGAAATTTGCTGAAGGGAAAATAAGGAGGGGTTCTAATTTTTCTGAATTTTTATGTATAACTTTTAGACATTGGAGAGTGGAAGTGACCTTGTAATTGTGAAGTAGCTTTTTGTAGAAATAGGAAGTGAAACATCTCGTAATTCTCATTGGAGAAAAAAGTGCTATGGAAAGTGTATTTCAAACTCCGAAGTAAATAGATTACACCACTTAGTCTGGTACATTCAGTACCGAAGGGTTTTGGACCTTAGCAAGATTAGCCGCAGTTAAAGCTGGGCAGCAGGGAACCTTCCAGACCTCCACTTCTGGGGTCCTACCTTCCCACCCTCCAGGAGCTCCTGCCAGATGATTTTGGTGGTCTCCCCTGACCACCAAGGCCACTGCCTTGGACAAGTCTCCTAATAAATGCCTCCAACTCCTCTTTGCTCTCAGCGGACACTTGGAAAATACACAAAAGTTGCTTTTAAACTTTTGAAATTGACTGATATGTTAGTTATTAGTCCTGTAATATTTTAAAGAGTCAAAATTTTATGTGAAAGAAATATTTATAGTGGGGCATGGTGACCCACACCTGTGCTCCAAGCAGCTCAGGAGGCGGAGGCAGGAGGATCGCAAGTTCAAAGCCAGCCTTAGCAACTTAGAGAAGAGACCTTAAGTAACTCAGTGAGACCTTGTCGCTAAATAAAAAACAAAAAAGAGCTGGGGCACGTAACCACGGAACCACATCTCCAGCTCTTTTTTGTACCCCCCCCAAGTACCTCCCCCCAAGAAAAGTATTTATAATTGACTTTCATTTACAAATCCAAGGCCAGTGATGCAATTGTGTTCATACTCATGAGCGCTCTCTCTCTCTCAAACAAGAACTGTTCTTCCCTCTCCCTTGACCACAGTGAGCATGTTCATTTTTAACTGATGCTAGACATTTAAGAAGATTCTCTTTGCATATTGTATGTAATAGTATAAATTCTAATGACCAGCATCCTGGATCATAATGTTAACCTTACGAGAAAGGAGGCATTACCTTGTAATGAAAAATTTGCTGTGAATAGATCATTCATAATCACTCATAATCTGCTCAACACTCACTTCCCCTTGACTGCACGTGACAGTGTTGAAGAGAACGCAATCCTGCTTGGTGGCCTTTAAGCTTTCTTTTCAATCAGGTACTTCGAAGTGTAGTCTCTGCTCAGCAAACACACAGAGTTCATATGGCAAAATACACAGAAATCGTTAATAACATAGCTCCCTATTGCTTCATCCCAGCCTTTTATAGCTGCTAGATTATTCACCAAAAATTCAGTGGGATTCATATAACATGACTTTAAGCCTTTTGGAATACAGTACATTTATCTTAAAAGTGTGAAAACAGTCAATTCTCTGCAAGGCAAATCTATGCAGAGTATCATCTTAAATGTAATGGAAGACCTAACACCTGCCCACAAGGTGCTCAAGATCCAGGGTGAGAGGGACACACACAGATCCAAGACGAGCTTCATGTTTTAGTGACAAGGACATCTAGTGGGCAGTATGTTGGCCCAGATAAGGCAAAAGTAAACTTAAATTCCTTTGTGAGTAAAGTTATTCTTTTATCTTTTTATATATGTAGTATTTCAGTGGTAGTCTTTACAAACGGTGTGCAAAACACAGACCTTATGGGTAAAAAAAAAATCCTAATATATAGACATGAATGCTCTAAAAGTTTCTCTATTTCAAGCAAATCCTCTCAAAAAATTAGGCTGGGATATTATTTTCCACTTGAAGAGATTTGGTCCTCAAGACCATTACCACAATAATCAGCATACAGTTGAATATACAAATGGATTTTGGATGCCAAGTGCTATTTGAAAGTGGCAAATACCATTCAAGTTTTCACGGCACCTGTTCAGATTTTCCAGTGTGGAAATATGCTTTGTGTTCATACAATATGTTTGGAGATAAAATTCTGAGTGTGTTGAATTGCGATAAACAATTTGGCTTAAGAGTCAGAACACTGGCTTCTGTTCATAGGTCTCTGGCAATGTCTTGGCTACTCTGCTTGACTTAAGCAGCTCGTTTTGATTCTCAGTACCTGGAACACAGCTTGTTCTCAAAAACATTGGAAAGAAAACTTCAGGTTCAACAACTGGTGATGGAATTCTACTGAGAATGTGAACGTGAGACCATGAGGACCTGAGTTAAATGTGAAAATCCAGTTGCCCAGAGGCTTGGTAAACTGAGAAGTGATTTCTTGAATTCAATCAATAGAAATTTCTGAAAATTTTCCCACTTTTTTAATACTGTAGAATCAGAAAAGTTGAAATGTGCTATAACAAATGCCATGTTTCAACTTGACTCATTGTCTACATTTGGTCCCGATTTACTTGCTTCCTTACGTAGATACTCCTGCCCACCACGTGTTCCACACCATTATGTGAACATGAGACGGATGTGCATAGGTGTTCCCAGGTCTTTTGGCTGATTTACCTGGAAGTAAGAAGCAGTCATTGCATCACTTCCCCCTACCTCTGAAATGCAAGCTACTCTTACATCCGTGTGCCTTTCCTGTGACATGACATCCAAGGATTTAGCCTTGATGCAGTGACAGTATTTAATGCAGAGCCTGTGTGCATACTCCCACAGTCATCCCCGAAGGTCCTTTGTGGACATTCCTTTTTCCTCATGCAGGGTGGGGCGAGGACGGCCCCCACACTTGGCCGTCTGCCCATGTCAGCCCACGTTCTATTTCTTCACTCTCAAATCTAAAACAACTTCCTGCCATGTTTTGTCTTTCACAATCCCTAAATTTTTAAGACTTCAGGGCAGTTGTCTTTTAGAATGTCCTACAATCTGGATTTCTCTTGATATTTTCCTTCACGATTGCATTGGTTTAAACAAATGTGGAAGGATATTTCCTAAATGCACTTCACTTCTCATCACATCAGCAGGCACACAGCATCAGGTCATCTCATAAGATCTGAGATCTTTGTGAAATTCATACTCGGTGAAAGCCCCCGTCTCTCTCCTTTGGGAAGGAACGCCTTCCCTGGCATAGCCAGCAGGTAAACTTGGGGTGCTGCTTTGAGACCATGTGAATCTGCCATTCCCCAGGAGTCTTTCTAAGGATTCATTAACATTCTTGCCCAAAGCTATTAATATATTACTGCATTTATGTTCGCAAAATGTAATTCTACTGTTCTTCCTACAGTTATCTCTCAGCATTTTTCTTTAGAGAAGAATTTGGCCAGCACAAGCACATTTAGGTCAGCTCCTGCATACCTTTGGTTCACACTGGTGCTTGAGCATGTCCTTGTTTTTTTGCACAGATGTTTCCGGCTCATCTTGTCCACCATGCCCTAGGATCTGGCTGTTTGATGAGCGTATTCCTACTGATGTCTTTGCTTCTAACCCACATTCCTTCCAATAGAGAGCAGAGAGAGATGGTATGTGTGTCCATGAGTCCAACCAGATACCCTGATTTGAATCCTGATTGGAATCCAGCATGGGAGTTCTCCATCCCCTCTCTGATTGGCATTCATATCTAGCTTCTCTGACGGGAACGACTCACACTGTCAGAAACACCACTGTATGAATCCATTGCATCCCATAGCACACACATAAAGGGCTCCAAAACACCAAGCCCCCACGCTGCCAGCTACAGACTCACAAGCAGATGTCAGCCTGTTGTTAAATAGAGCACAGGGTTTGTGGAGACGTTTCTGGATGTTGTTGGGGAGTAGTAGTCACGGTATGGAGGGGCGCACGGTGTTAATTGACTTTGACAAGAGAAAGCAGCGCTTGATCTGAATGTGAGGATATTGAACACGCTTCAGGTCTTGAGTGATAGCCAATATATGAGTGCACCGGTTCAGGGAAACTCGGTGTGACTCATGAACAGCTGAGTGGATAGGAAGAGGCTGTCTTGGTAGAAGAGCCTTTGGGTATCCGAAAGCATTTAGGGGATAACACCTCAGACAGGAGGAAGCTTGGCCGGTGCCAGCCCTGGACCACACACAACAGACTGCAGACCACAGCAGGAGCTCTGACTGAACTCCAGCTTCCCCTTCAGCCTGCCCCTGGAGAGTCTGGTGGGCAACTCCATTGGCCCCGAAGGTGGCTCTGCATGGTGGTCCAGGGGCCACGGCTGGTCCCCTGTGCGCATGCTGCTCCCTGCCCTTGCCCTCAGTGATCGGTGCCAGTGGAGAATCTTGTCTTTCTGCAGAGGCAGGCTTTGGCCTCTGCTGCTGCTGAGCCAGGGCGTCTTCTCCGCTGAGCTCTAAGGGTGCTCTTCTCTGGGCCTGGTTTTCCCTTGCCTCGGGCCTTCTCCTGCCTGGGCAGCCTTAGGTGATTACGTCCGTCCTCGCACTAGTTATCAAGCTGGGCCCTACCACAGTGGTGGCTTACGAGAGTCCTACCTTGGGTCACAAGGTGAAGACTCACTTTGAGTCTCTACTTGGGTCTGGGAAAATTCCCACAGTGCAGAGGGCCACCCCTGCCCCACAAGTGCCCCTGCCTCTGTCACCGAATCAGTCCCTGCCAGGCTGCCCTGGCTTTCCTTTAACCTCTCTGCCCTGCAGTTCAAACGCCTTTTAAATGTTACTTAGAGATCTTCAGAATTCATCATCATGTGTCTCTGTGATTTGAGCTCCTGCTACTGTGTGCTAGCTTTTATTATTTCTCGTGTGGTTGGTAGGAAACACTGACATTTCATGAAATTTGTGTTTTGCTGAAGAATGGGTTTTTGAAATTTTTTCAGATTAATAGGGGTAAATCTAGTAAATACAGGATGTGATATTCAGTTAGACAAATTGATCCCAAGTGTGTTTAATGGTGCTGATGAAGAAAGAAGTGGAATTCCTCCCAGGAAGAGCTCCAAAGGGCTGGGAAGGGCTGTCCCTCTCCAACACAGGACTGCTTCCCTTGTCTTTTGAGCTGAGACTGAGGTGCAGAATCGCTTGCAAATATTACCAACAGAAAGCACCATGGGAGATCCCCTGGGAGCACAGGTCTGAAGTTTCAAAACCAGGTGTGCTTTGGGAAAAAATCAAACATAGACATTCCAAACAAAAACGTTTCAAGTTGCCTTTCTTAGATTAACAGAGAAGAACACATACCTGTACAATAAATAATATAACATACATTAAACAAACAGGAGGGTCTAATATATTAAGTTATGTCTCTAATCATTTCCTTCCTCATTCTCTTCCTCTTTTCCTTCCTTCAGTAAGTCTAGGGCTTGGAACTTAGCTGTTGTGGGGTCAAAGGTCAAAGACCAATGTCTCCTTTGAGAAAGGAGGACAAGGACAGGGAATGGGAATGTTCATGGAAAGACTGCATAGGATCCTTGGCATCCGAGCTCTCCTGCATTTGTAGATACTGCTTGCTGATTTTGCCAATAAATTTGCACATGACTTCCTAATGCCTGGCTCTAGAAAAAGAAAATAGAACAATTGTGGACGGAAGATACCTCTGCAGGGTGACAGCAACATCTTGGTTGTTTACTAAGGTGGGACCTCTCCTGGTGGGCATTATGCAAATGCTGACCAGACCATACTGGAAGCTCCAACAGATAAATTCCTCCTGGTCCTCTCTCATTTGAAAGACTAGTTATTTGCTTTACAAAACAGTCACTGTTTGGTGCAAGCTTTTGTTTTGTTTTTAAGCCAGGAATTTTAGTGCCCACTCAGGACTCATAAAGGACTGTGAGAAATCATTTAAATGAAAAACTTCTCTCACCTTGTCGTCTAAATCTAGACAGGAGTCTTGGATTACAAAGACTATAGGTGACCTGAGTAACACTGGACTAGTTGTGCATGCTGGAAAATCAAATGCATAGATAACTTACAGCATTTGCATTGAGAAGTTATCCTCTTCAAATTCTGGAGAAGGAACCAGTAAGGGCTGAAGAGCAAAACCAAGCCCATCAGAGGGCCACACGCTGCCTTCTCTTTCCAGAGAGCTCAGAACAGGTCAGACAGACCCCAAGGCAAGGTCAAAAGTGTGCCAGGGTAGTGGCTAGGTACAAGGAACAGTAGCTACAATGTGCTCTTCCTTTCAGGGAACTTTTGTTGTACCTGGGAGTAGAGTGTATTTTGACACATTATATAGCATGGAGTGTGACTTAGAAGCCCATACGTGTCATTGTACATGAGTGCCGTTTCACTGATCACATATTCACATATGAACACAGGAGAGTTATGTCTGATTCACTCTACTGTCTTTCCTACTCCCACCCCCTCCCTTTCCTTTATTTACCTTTGTCAAATCCAATGAATTTCTATTCTTCCCTCCCTCCTCCCATTATTGTGTGTTAGCATCCACATGTCAGAGAGAACATTTGGTCCTTGGTTCTTTTAGATTGGCCTATTTCACTTAGCATAGTAGTATCCAGTTCCATCCATTTACCACAGATGCCATAATTTCGTTCTACTCTATAGCTGAGTAATATTCCACTGTGTATATACCACATTTTCTTTATCTCTTCATCTGATGAAGGGTACCTAGGTTGGTTCTACAGCAAAGCTATTGTGAATTGAGCTGCTATAAACTTTGATGTGGCTGAGTCACTGTAGTATGCTGATTTAAGTCCTTTGGGTACATACCTGGGTCAAATGGTGGTTTCATTCCTAGTTTTTTGAAGAATCTCCACACTTCTTTCCAGAGTTATTGTACCAATTTGCAGCCCCACTGGCAACGAATGAGTGAACCTTTTTCCCCACATCCTTGCCAACATTTGTAGTCACTTGTATTCCTGATAATTGCCATTCTGACTAGAGTAAGATAGTTTGATTTGCATTTCTCTAATTGCTAGAGATATTGACATTTTTTCATATATTTGTTGACCATTTGTATTTCTTCTGTGAAGTACTTGTTCAGTTCCTTTGCCCATTTATTGACTGGGTTATTTGTTTTGTTTTGTTTTGGATTTTTTTGGTGTTTTTTGTGTTATTTGTGTATTCTGGTGATTAATGCTCTATCTGAGGTGCAGGTAGCAAAAATTTTCTCCCATTCTGTAGGCTTTCTCTTTACAGTCTTGCTTGTTTGTTTTGCTGTGAAGAAACTTTTTAGTTGATACCACCCCATTTATTGATTCTTGATTTTACTTCTTGCACTTCGGGAGACCTGTGGAAGAAGTCAGTTCCTAAGCTGACATGATGGAGAGTTGGGCCTACATTTTCTTCTAGTAGGTGCAGGGTCTGTGGTCTAATGCCTATGTCCTTGATCTACTTTAAGTTAAATTTTGTGCAGGGTAAGAGATAGGGGTTTTATTTCATTTAAAACACTAAAAAACTAGGTAGTAGGAGCATACCTCAACATTGTAAAACCTATGTATGTTAAACCCAAGGCCAGCATCATTCTTAATGGAGAAAAGTTGAAAACATTCCCTTTAAAAGCTGGATCAAGACAAGGATGCCCTCTTTAACAACTTCTATTCAACCTAGTTCTTGAAACTCTAGCCAGAGCAATTAGGCATAGAAAGAAATTAAAGGGAATAAGTAAAGAAGAGGCTCCAACTATTCTTATTTGCCATTGACATGATTCTCTATTTAGAAGATCCAAAAAAACTCCACCAGAAAACTTTCAGAATTCATAAATGAATTCAGCAAAGTAGCAGAATATAAAATTAACATCCACAAATCACTTGTGTTTCTATACACTCTACTCCTGGGCTCTTCTGTTCGCTTCTAATTCCTTGAGATAGAACACTGAACTCCTCTTAAGCAAAAGAAATCAGTGAGGGAAATGTATTGTTCGATGTGTTTTTTAAAATGAATTTCAATATAGTTGAAAATATTTAGGTTTTTCAACACCTGATTGTCACATCAAATTCACAAATACATTCAATTTTAGAAGTCACACTTGTTTGAATTCTTTCTTTATAGAATCAAAAAGCAAAAAGCTTCATCCTTCAGTTCTGTACCCGCACCTCTGAAACCTTACCTCGTTCTCACGGAGACCATCGCATCCATTTTAAAATGTGCCCATCCCTTTCCTGCTTGAGCAGTTCATGATCTGGCCCCCTTTACCTCCTGCCTCTTTCCCTCCAGTCTCATTGTTGGTTAATTTGCATAAACTCAACTATCAATTATTTTGGAGCTGCTAGGATAGTAAGCCAACAAGATCTCTGCCTTCTTGGAATTTTCCCTGGGTTTTACTTCTTTTGTATAGTACTAAAGTGCTTTCTTACTTTGAAGAATATACTTTAAACTTTCTTTGGTCGGTAAATTTGACAGCATCTCTCAGCCAATCACTTTCTAGGAGATGGTAATGAGCATTTGCATTTTTACTACTTCCTTTTCCCCCTCCCAAGTTCTGAGCTATACGCATGGAGCAAGTTTGAAGATTTCTACCAGGTCCTCTAATTCAGCAATCCATATCCTGTTCCATGCTGTGTCTATTGCTCACCCTGGTGTCTGTCCTGTTGCATTGTTTCTGTGGCTGCACTCTTGTTTTCTCCCATGGCTGAGGTGCACCTTGGTTGTCTTCTGCTCCTGTTGACAGTGTGTGGCAGGTGGCATTCTGCAGACCTGCCTTGGATGGGCCTTGTCTCTCTGCCCTCGAGTCCATGGTGCTGCTCTGGCCCATGGTCACCTGGCACTCGCCCTCTGGCCCAGCTTCAGCCTACCCAGCAGCCCCCTCTCTAGGACCCAATCGTGTCCTCTCAAGAATGGTGTTCCCTGTGCAGCTGTTTGAGCGAGGAAGAAGAGGAGGGCTGGGCTGGCCAGTGGACTTCAGAAGGAGGTCTGCTGAGAGGCTGTGCCCAGCTCCCTGACACAGACTCCTGCTGCTGGAGCCTGGGGGCGGGGGTGCACTGTGACTCAGCCTTTGCTGGTTCCCAAGCTGCTCCAATCTGTGATCTGCTCTAACTTGGTTTGTTCCTTAATGTGATCCTCTGAGATTCCTTCCTTCAGAAGTTAATAACATGCAGCTGTCTAAACTTTCTTAATAAATTAATTTTTTTTGCAATTTTTGATATATCGCCCTTATCAATTGGAGACTTCTATTCCTGATTTACCTTTTTTCTTCTCTTTACAATAAAAAAGGTACTGGATTTTATTAAGTTGTGGTATCATATTAAATGGGATAAGAAGAGACTTCCCTTTTGGTTTATTCACATGTTGAATTATTTCAAGGGAAATTTTCAGATGATAAATCATCCATACATTTTTGAGAAAAAAAACTGTTTGATATGGGGCTGTATTTGAAATCTGGATCTTCACATGTATGTTCAAAAGTGAAATAGAATTGCACCATTGGTTTATTTATTTTTTGTTTGTTTTATGTTCAAATTAGTAAAAACAAACCAGGCAACTTATTCTTTTTCCCTTCCTTAAAAAACATAAAGGAATTTAAATGTTCACAGAGAGTTTGCTGGAGCTCACTTATAAAAGTCTCTCAAACTGTTTTTGTTTTAATCACTTCCTTTTATGTGATATGAATACATTTTCATTTTCCCCCCTATATTTTACACCAATTTTTGCAGGTTATATTCTTGCAGGAATTTACTCATGTCTAGGAATTTATATACATTAGATAATAGTTGATTCATAAAACCTCTCCTTTGTCTGGTTATTTCTCCTTGTTGTTTGATTTGGTTTCATTTATGTCTTTAAGCGGATATGCCAAAGTTTCATTTTTTACTGATCTTTTAAAGATCTTCATTTCTGATAGTCTTAAGGTTTTCTGTCTTTTGATTGTTCTTCATTGACTTATTTCCTTCTTTTGACAAAACCCATTTTGCAAAGTGCCATGGTGAGTTTTGCCTCCTCTATTCTAAACTAATAACTGAGCCCAAGTGATGCCCTCCAGGCTCCCACTCCCAGTAGTTTCCTGGCATAGTCTGAAGCTGAAGGGGCCTTGGTGGAGGGAGTGATGGGTGTAGCAGGCAGAGCACTTGGTTATCTCTGTGCAGAAAAATGTCTAGATTCAGTTGCTTTGACTCTCATGAACAAATGTAGGTCAAACCTGTATAAATTACCACACGGCTAATTGGGGATCAATATAAGAGATTCATTTCTATTTACCAAAAATCTCTGTAAGGGATGTAGCTCTATAGTGACATTTTAACTCCACGTTCTGAAAACTGTGGAACTGGAGACAGACTCACCCCTGCACAGGGATGTTGTAAGAGAAACCCTTTGGCGTGAGATCTGGTGGGAAGAACAGATGTCACAGGCCGTCTTTCCAGTGCCAAGATGCTAGGATCCTGAGCTCTCCTGCACACTGCTGACTGGGCGGAAGCTCTGAAGTGGAAAACGAGGCCGCTTTAATTGGGTCGAGACAATGAGCTGCCTCTAAGATGCATTGACGCTTCGCAGTGTGTACTATGTGCAAGTAAGGAGCCTTGCACAACCCGCTCACTTGTTATCAACGGACCATATTTGTAGGAAAGCTGATGCTCTGCTGAATCTAGAAACCAGCTAGATGTGGAAGCTACTGAAGAATGGAAGATTGCCTTGGATAGGTTTCAGCATATCAAATGAAGGAAGAAAATAGCTCAGAGTTGCTCCTATTTAAGATGCTTTATTCTGCTATCTGCATGAGAAAAATGCCCAAATGTCACTCTAATCTTAAACTAATCTTTCCTTCTGCTCTTTGGTGCCATAAATTAAGAAGCTGCCAAGGCAGAAAATAAAATCTATAATGAACTAGTGGTAAATTTGTTATCTCTTGAAGAGACAGGGGACTTTTCTTTTCATTAATCAGAAGTAAACAACACAGAAAAGTGTAAAAATAGGCCTACCAAAAATGTGAGCTGCTGGCTTCTGGTGAGGTTGCCAATATTATAATTAAGAGGGCTGGCAGCACGAGGGTAATTCTATGTGTTCTTTGCAGTCAATGCTGTTTAAACACGCGTCTCCATCATGACAGCCATAAGAGGTCTGAGAAAATAATAGATTTGGTTCTTGATTCTAAAGGAATATGATGTCATCAGCACAGGAGGCAGAGCTGATGAGGTGCACTGTGCTATCCCTCTAGGGCAGGTCGGGGACAGGACTTTAAATCTTGGCCCACTACCCCTCTGAGCCCTTATCAGTGCATCCACGAGTCACCTGCCCATTCCATCAAGTGCATCCTAGGAAGGAGACCCAACCTGAGGGCCTCACCTGAGACACATCTGATTACTTTTTCATTATAATTAGAAAAGTCAGTTTCTGGAAACCTCCCTGTTTGATAGTCACGGTTCTTCCAGCACAGGGAACAGCTGCTGTATTATTATTAGACTCAGAAAATGTAGCTGTTGTAAATAAAGTGTTTATATATCTTCAAGGTGCAGAGGAAATCTTGATTTATATACCTATTTTTAATTTAGAAATCTAGCTAATACAAAGAGAAGTGGATGACATATAGCTAAGTTGGAGAAGGAGTCTAAAAAAATACAACTTTCCTGCTGAGATTTACCTGTGGTTTTCCTGGCATAGAATAAGATTCTAAATAGAAATAATTCTGGGGCCAAGAGGAAGGTGAATTTTGCCAACAAAAATCTTCCAGTGAATCTTTTTGTATCTTTATGACTGGAAATGGATACCACCTTTGAGACTATGTCATTTTTAGATAAGAAATAACCGGGCAAATCTAGTCCCTATCGGAACCCTGGATCTGTGCCCAAGGGGTATTACATGTCCCATTGCTGTGACAGCAAAGCCTCACAACCATTCTTGCCTAGGGCTCGGGGGCTCTTCCTCTCCATTTTTCCTGTGTGCCTGTGTGGATGTCGTCAGTGCTACAGATTAGAGAGCCCGGCAGGGTGGGTGTGGTACCCTGGTATAACTCATGGCCCTCGCAGGTATTGGACATCGCTCTGTCAATAAGACTTGGTGTCTCAGGAAAAGGAAGGTTTAGCAATTCTGTCTTCTTAGCTTCTTTAATGAGTATTTTTTCACCTTTGAACTTGTGGACCTGATCATGCCTAAGGAAAATGGTGATGATTTCAATAAGAAATGGCGACATCTGTTGCTCCAGCCTCTGTGTTCGTCAACAGTGGCCATGCCCTCTATTTCTTCCCACAGTTGAACTCCATGGTTTGTCAGACCTACAGTCACATTTCCTTGAAGAAGGCATGAATCTTTTACAGAAAATAAATCTATATTTTAAAAAATATTTGTTAAAAATGGTGAATTTATCTGTACACTGCAACACTGACATCTAAGAAACTATTTATGTGCCAGAGTTCCCCTATTTTGAAAAATATTTTCTTTACATTCTAACGGTATTAATAGTAGGATAGCTTTTCTAATCAGTGTCTGAAAAAAAAATCTGCTGGAGAAATGATTAGTTTTTGCCACTAGTTTTTATTGTTGGCACACACACAAATACATCTAGGCCCTAAAGAAACATGGTGAATTCCATGCATGATTCTTTGCTGTTTTTTTTTTTTTTTTTTTTAAGCATAAAGGACATAGCTGTGACAAATCAATCAGGGCTTGGGTATTAAGAGCTAGTATTGTGTCAGTGTGAACTCCTGATTTGGACGAATTAATTGTGGTCAGGTAGGACAAGGTCTCATTTATATGAAATATGCACTGGTGCTATCAGGGATAACAGGCCATCATTTCGGTAATTTATCCTTAAACAGTGATTCTTTTAACAAAGCTGGAGGCCTCACATTAATTGGAAATATGATACAAAGTTAAATCAACCAAAAGAGCTTGGTACCAACACAAATGCAGGCACATGACCAATTGAACAGAATAGAGATGGAAATCTGTCTAGGGTAGGTAGGGGATATGACTTTAAATCTTGACCACCACCCCTCCCAGCCCTTATCAGTGCACCAAAGGATCACCTGCCTGTTCCATCAAGTGCATCCTGAGAAAGGAGACCTGCTTTGAGGGCATCACTTGGCACACCTGTGAGTACTTTTATGCTATAATTAAGAGAAGTCAGTGTCTAGAAACCTCCTTGTTTTAAGTCGCAGTAAGCTACTTAGAGAATGTGGCCTACCTACAGAATGGGAGAAAATAACTGCTTTCAAGTTAATAAATAGATAATATCCAAAGTATATAGAGAACATACATAAGGAACTCAAATAATTTAATAGTAACAAACGAATAACCCACTTTAAAAATCAACAAAGGCTCTCACTAGACATTTCTCCAAAGAAGCCACACAGACGACCAACAGGTTCACAATCCCTAATCATCAAAGAAATCCCAATAAAACCATAGTGAGATATTTCCACACACTGCTGATGGGAATGTGAAGTCCATTAAGCAAATGAGTATGTAGGTTACTCAAAAACCTAGACAAAGAACCACGAAATGGCCCAGCAATCTCATTTCTGGGTATATATCCAAGGGGAATGAAATCAATATGCCAAAGAGGTATCTGCAGTCCCTGTTGGTTGCCATGTTATTCACCACAGTTCCGACATGGAATGACCTAAGTGTCCATTGACACTTGAATGAGTAAAGAAAATGTGGTAATCTGTGCAGACAGAATGGTACTCAACCTGCAGAGATAAGGAAATCTATCACCTGTAACAACAGGTACGAACTGGGAAGACATTATGTTAAATGAAATAAGAAATACAAATACTGCCTGATTGCCGCAGTCTGGCTGGGCACAAAATCACGAGCCACTCACAGCCTTGTAGATTCAAACAGCAACTCTTTATTCCCGAACTCACACAGGCACTCTGCACTCTACACACGTTCTGGGGAAATCCACGTACTCCACCAGCCTCCAAATTCCAAATACTTTTTTTGAATCCCAGGAGAACTCAAGGAGAGGGCGTGCCTGAGGCAGCAGGATACGCCCTATTCCCAGCAGGGTACACCTTAAACCTGGAACCGCCCTAAACCCAAGGAGCGGGATACTCCCTGTTCCCAGCAGGATACACCCTAAACCTGGATCCACCCTGGTCCTTGAGCAAGGTCACCTTACTCAAGCATACATGCAATGTCACTGCAAATGACCTGGGTCCAAAGGCAAGCCCATTTCCACGAGTCCTTCCTCTAAGCAACATGGGGTACGCTGGCAAGGAAATTGTCATACCTACTTGGCTAATGGCTCTCAGCACCTGATCTCACTTATGTGTGGAATCTAAAAGTGTTGAACTCATGGAAGACAGGACAATGGTAGTTACAGAGGCTTGGGTGGCAGGGATGTTGGGAGATATTGGCCGAAGAATAATAAAATATAATTTCAATTAGAAGAAGTAAGTTCAAGAGATCCCTACTTTGAGAAATATTTTATTTATATTCCAATATTATTAATAGTGGGATAGCTTTTTTAATCAATGAAGAAACTTAGCTGGGTAGGGGAGAAGTGATTAACATGAGGAGTACAGTTAGTAACAATGTTTTGGCACGAAAAAATGATGAGTGAATGAAACAGCACAGATGTCAATTTAGCCATTAAATAATATATTTGCATTTCAAAATATCATGTTTTACAGGATAAATATATAAAATTTTTATTTATTAAAAACAATTTTTGCAATGCACTGTGCTTGCATTGTCAAAAGTAACCAAGCTTTATACTTCAATTAAACATTTTAATAAAATATTATTCTGTTGCTGTTGTATGCCAAGAATCACAATTAAAGACATTGAAAGTGAATTTGTAAAATTAAAATGCTAGAAGTCGTTAGTGTTCCATATTCGTAGATCCCAAAGGATCACCTCTCCAGAGAGGAGCTTGCTTCTGCCAAATTCCGACTTAATAAAAACCATTCCACTTGTTGCAGTATGAGATTAAAATTGCAAACAAATTGCAAGTTGAACAAAACTGGTAGTGTAGATTTAAAAAGCCCAGATTTCTTTAAATGCCCTAGAATAGTTTGAAATGCCTTAGAACATTCAAGGTCACTAGTAGTGGGGTTTCAGAAAAGGGCTTGCAGCTCCTGGGTTACCTGCTGCTGCGTGTAAAGTGATCCAGTGGAGACTCCGGTTGAGTTTAAAGTGGTGTAAACTCAAATTTCAATTATACCAAGGTTTAAGGTGGATGGGAAAATATATGCTATATCTATTAGTTTTCTATTTTTTAAAGAGTAATGTGTATATACTGTTAGCCAGTGACCTCCCATTATAGGATCCTACTTAAAATATATGGCTTCCGTGTGTTTGAAGATGTCAGAGGTAATGGGCTCCTGGCCTGGCAGGTTGGACGTGGATGCAGACAGCGCTCTGCGTGCCTCATTGGCAGCCACCCGCAGCTGCTCCTCCCATGTTCTCCAGGTCCCTGAGCCTGGGGGTTAAGTCGTCCTGAGGCCACCCTGCGGGGGGATGTCCTGGCGTCTGTGTTGGGCCAGCAGACCCTAACTCTCCCAGGTACCAGGCATGTCCCCACGCTTTCTGTGGCACAAGAAGTGAGTCTTTCCTGAACTTATGGGACAAGCGATCTCAAATGGGAAGGTGTGTATCCAGTGGGGCCAGAGTTCTACAGGTGACACTCGGCCTGTGCCTGAGAGATCGCAGGCAGAACACAGGGAGCTGTGCCAGTGTGGATGGCGCCAGTGGCTTGAGGTAGGATATGGTGGTCGGTTCACTGAGATGCTAGGCGGGGGTTCTCCAGCAGCCTAGATGCTTCCTGGGCTCCCAAGTGGACCGGTGCATTCCAAGGGAAAGGCAGAATATGCCCTTGGGGTGCAGGAAGGAAACACTAGGACTTTTATTTATGTTGCTTTTTAAGCTAAGCAAGGAAAAGAAATCAAAGCCAACACTTTACTGATTCCAAGTGTCAATTTATATCAAGATTGATACTCCCCCTCCATCTGCCTGCACTTGCAGATGGTCACAGGTGATGCTGGAGAGTATCAGGAGAGGAAAGGGGACTCCCTCTTGGGTTGGCATTGACTTGGTCACGTCCAGAGTGCCGCAGGCTTGGCAGTTGACTTGAGCTTAGTTAAGAACAGCACCCAGTTTCCACTG